TTAAAGCGACAAAACTTTTTCCATAATCCTAATAATGATTGTACGATTCCGACTATATCATGAGCATGTGTTTATGAATCACTCTCAAATAGTTATGAAACCATGTGTTCGCGAAAAGGTGAGCGTATCCTGCCAAACCAGTGGCACCAGTCACAAACACTTGCCAAGGCAAGGCAATTGTGCACCTGAACAAAACACGAGAACATATGGTACAAGTCAAAATTAGGGAACTGCATCTGACATCATTAAGATATGGTAACCTTTACAATAACAGTGGTCACATCTATGTATAGCAGTCTGCGTCTCGCTAGGTAATTCTATTCAGTGAGTGATTGAGTGATTGATCAAAATGTCACCAGACTGGGAACAGTGGCCGACACACTGCAAACTTAACGTCCAAAACACAACTATGATACGCTTATTCAATACATCACCGTCGATTAACCATTTCTTGTTTGTTTCACATTTAACTATCATCTAACATCGGTGTAGTCTTTGATTATCATTTAGAAGTTTGAATAAGATGAATATATGACACTTTTTATGGATAACAACTTTATTAATTCTCCGGACGACGTTTCAGAGACACCTCCTGCCCTTGGTCAGGTAAATACTGCGTAAACGCATAGAGGTAATATAATATATATACAGGATGTGCCCCGACCGAAATAACATCTTGATTGCCTTAATGTCAGTGTTACCATAGCCAGCTACTTTTTGTTACACCCAGTCCGAACATTACTTAATTGGCCTCTCACCTGTTAATGTCATTGGCTTCGTTCTTATATTGTTGACTTTGTACACTAATCCTACCTTATGTTTTGTTTGTTTGTTGTTTAAGGCCGCACTCAGCAATATTCCAGCTATATGGCGGCGGTCTGTAAATAACGAGTCTGGACCAGACAATCCAAGTGATTGACATCATGAGCATCGATCCGCCCAATTGGGATACGATGACATGCATCAACCAAGTCACCGAGCCTGACCATCCGATCCCGCCTACCTTATGTAAACAGGTGTGGGTGATCCTGGCACAGTCAGGCTGGTTAGGCTCATCATCAACTCAGGGCCCTTGCCCCCTCTACACGCAGCCCAGACAGCGATTGGGACTTCTCCCAGCGCTGCCTAGTCAAACCCACTAAGAACTTTTCGGAGAATGTGAAGACTCCCCAACACTGCAGCCTTCTGCATTACCCAGATTGTCAGAAGGGTTGTACTCCTGGTAGCAAACCCGGGTACTCTCCCAATGTCAACAGATTGGAAAGTACCAAACCTAAGGCACGGAGAACAATGGGAAGTCGGACAACTTGGTACTTGGGATGCCAGCATGCCATTTCGAACGCGAGGTCTGCATATTATCATCATCATCATCATCATCATCATCCATGCGGCGTAAAACAAAATTTATTCACTTCAGTGCCAGTTGAATAGAAGAGAGAAGCGGAGAGGGGAGAAGTGTTCTGGGTGTTATACATCTTAATCGGAGTAAATCCTCCCCGTCAGAAAGTATATATCTCAAGATAAAGCTTCTCCACCAAAATCTCGTAATCTCTCGCGGGACCCGAGGTTACTTTCAGGCAGACCAAGATGGCGGGCGTATATATCATATTGATCGCTGTTCGAATTGCAGTCTTATCTATTATATCTTGTCCACCTTAGCTTCGGGGTTCCCTTACAAGGTTTAAATATCAATCTAAGAAGAAAAATCACATCACTGACTGAACAGAATATATTCCGTGTTTGTGTTATCATGGACTCACGCCATTTGGCGTCGTGTTAATAATGATATTTGTTTTGTGACAGACAATCCATCACCTCCTTGGGCTTATAGCATGACTCATGACTGACGCTCCATCTAAGGGTCTAGTTTGGGGCGGGGGGGGGGGGGGGGGTTTGCTCAAAAGGCATAAAAATCGTGAGATCAATGAACACAATGCCATTTAGAAAGATATACAGTATGCTTCATGGAAAAAAACCTCCACCTGTGTATTTAATGATCAGTTAATGCCGTTATCACAGGTATAATTAGTGGTAGAACCACTCAGATTACCTGACAAAGATTATGTAAAATAACTCATTAGCGTCCACACCTCACTGGGTGTCAAAGTTAAATTGCATTCAGTATCTGGCATTCTCGTGTCTGGGGTAATTAATTAATCTATGATTAGGTTATAAATTCAGGTCTCATGTGGTGAATGTCTTACATGTATAATATGCACGTGGCAGCGCAACAAGAGAGGAATGGTCAGTTGAGTTGCAAATAACATCAATCAAACGGTTAGCCGATAATACGTTGATTGGTTATTTACTGTAATCTTGCACAGTGGATTTGTCAAAAGTAAGTGTTTATATATGTAGATTTACTAAAGGAGAGGGAATACACGCATACATGGGAGTGAAGTGCCGATGTAAAAACTCAGACTTTGTTCAAAGGATTAGCTGGTAATACGTTGATTGACTGCTCATTGTGATCTAACTCAATGGATTTAATTAAAGAACCAAGAACATCAAGAACATTGTTGTCACGTGTGCTATCTCAACTGATCAATGAGACTTGACACCCATGTGAAGCATCTGAAACAAACTTACGTGTTCAGTTGGGAGACGAACACAGGTTTTAATATCCAGGAACGCTACATATGGTTGAAATGTGTTACAAGGACACGTGACATGGAACAGGTCTCTTTGTACAGTTTCAGCAGTATGGGATATTGTTTCTTTATGTGGATATTGACGGATACATTTCTCGAACAAGGTAACTGTCTAATATTATACATGTAACACTTGTCGGTTGTAATTACGATATTTGCATCTCGTTTTCATTCATTTGCTGTAGCAAGAACGTTGGAGGCCTCAAGGGTGATTGATCGAATTGCTCCAAACGTAAAAAGTATCGGTCAGTAGCAAACAGTTGTTCCAAAGTGTACGCTTATGGTTATTTATATTTTAAATATACATGTAGTAAAAGCTACAACTAAAATAGCTCGATATTGGAATATATTAATATTATTTCGGATAACATAATTGTTTCAGATACAATTCGTCCGATCATAGCACCAACATTCTTTAAAGTTATATTATTTGTGTAGTTTTAAATCGAACCATGGGTCCAGATTGGTAGAAAATTAACGTACAGCTGATTGCTATTTCCGGAATAGTTTACGAGAAAATACACACGGTAATCTTTATTTCTGCATATATATATAACAATGTCTAGCAGAACAGAAAATACAATTTTACTAGAAAATCATCATGTCTAGTGATAACTCATCTCAAATTTTACATTTTTATAGACCATTGTCGTTTACCTAAATTCTCTGAAGGGATATTGTGTAGTTTTATACTGTGCATAAAATAATTTTGACGCGTATGCATTAATCACCAACCAAAACACATGTCAGTTTGGCTGCAGCCCTTTTTATGATATCCGGCTTCTCATTCTTCAATTCGCCGATAGGAGTCGCATCGCGCAGCTAGAATAGCGCCGAACACAAGTCAAACCAGTTGAAATATGTAGATTTTGAATCCGCGAAGAAAAAGCCGATCCATATTGCAATACTTTCAAACTTGGAGTGTTGTGTCCCTTTAAAAGCGCTAACTAGGCGGTCTGCAATTGCATGCAGAATGGATATCACCAGCCGGGTACAGAATATACGCGATCGTTTCATTACTTGTTTAGAGATATCGGTGTTGTATATATAACACTGGTATGGATTCCATGTATGTCACGAGTATGGCTAGTGGAGGCGTGTCAAGTAACCTTGATTTAAAGTGAATTATATAATTTTAACATAGTTAACCTTGTCAATTGTAGTGGCGCGGGTTCCACACACACACACACACACACACACACACACAAACACTCCGTGCCATTATTAAGAAAGATCTCGATTTAACTTAGAAGCCAATTGGTGATAATTAACGAGAGCGGTATTTGTCTCACCTACGGGGTATCTTCCCAAAACGCAGACCTGCCAAAACGCAGACCTGCCAAAACGTAGACCTGCCAAAACGCAGACCTGCCAAAACGCAGACCTGCCAAAGCGTAGACCTGCCAAAACGTAGACCTGCCAAAACGCAGACCCGTTAAAACATCACTCGTTATGGCTGGTTGCATCAGTAATTAGTACCCTGTACCCTTGATTAAGTAAAATGGTATCACCCATGTAACACGAAAAAAAGCTGGGTAGATTTCACAATTTTTTATTCACGATTTGCTGCATAGGTGTTGTCTCTTCCCTGGCCCTCTTCCTTATGGCGTTGACAAATCTCCCTGGCCCTCTTCCTTGTGGCGTTGACAAATCTCCCTGGCCCTCTTCCTTATGGCGTTGACAAATCTCCCTGGCCCTCTTCCTTATGGCGTTGACAAATCTCCCTGGCCCTCTTCCTTGTGGCGTTGACAAATCTCCCTGGCCCTCTTCCTTGTGGCGTTGACAAATCTCCCTGGCCCTCTTCCTTGTGGCGTTGACAAATCTCACTGGCCCTCTTCCTTATGGCGTTGACAAATCTCCCTGGCCCTCTTCCTTATGGCGTTGACAAATCTCCCTGGCCCTCTTCCTTGTGGCGTTGACAAATCTCCCTGGCCCTCTTCCTTGTGGCGTTGACAAATCTCCCTGGCCCTCTTCCTTGTGGCGTTGACAAATCTCCCTGGCCCTCTTCCTTGTGGCGTTGACAAATCTCCCTGGCCCTCTTCCTTGTGGCGTTGACAAATCTCCCTGGCCCGCTTCCTTATGGCGTTGACAAATCTCCCTGGCCCTCTTCCTTATGGCGTTGACAAATCTCCCCGGCCCTCTTCCTTGTGGCGTTGACAAATCTCACTGGCCCTTTTCCTTATGGCGTTGACAAATCTCCCTGGCCCTCTTCCTTATGGCGTTGACAAATCTCCCTGGCCCTCTTCCTTGTGGCGTTGACAAATCTCCCTGGCCCTCTTCCTTGTGGCGTTGACAAATCTCCCTGGCCCTCTTCCTTGTGGCGTTGACAAATCTCACTGGCCCTCTTCCTTATGGCGTTGACAAATCTCCCTGGCCCTCTTCCTTATGGCGTTGACAAATCTCCCTGGCCCTCTTCCTTGTGGCGTTGACAAATCTCCCTGGCCCTCTTCCTTGTGGCGTTGACAAATCTCCCTGGCCCTCTTCCTTGTGGCGTTGACAAATCTCCCTGGCCCTCTTCCTTGTGGCGTTGACAAATCTCCCTGGCCCTCTTCCTTGTGGCGTTGACAAATCTCCCTGGCCCTCTTCCTTATGGCGTTGACAAATCTCCCTGGCCCTCTTCCTTGTGGCGTTGACAAATCTCCCTGGCCCTCTTCCTTGTGGCGTTGACAAATCTCCCTGGCCCTCTTCCTTGTGGCGTTGACAAATCTCCCTGGCCCTCTTCCTTGTGGCGTTGACAAATCTCCCTGGCCCTCTTCCTTGTGGCGTTGACAAATCTCCCTGGCCCTCTTCCTTATGGCGTTGACAAATCTCCCTGGCCCTCTTCCTTGTGGCGTTGACAAATCTCACTGGCCCTCTTTCTTGTGGCGTTGACAAATCTCCCTGGCCCTCTTCCTTATGGCGTTGACAAATCTCCCTGGCCCTCTTCCTTGTGGCGTTGACAAATCTCCCTGGCCCTCTTCCTTGTGGCGTTGACAAATCTCCCTGGCCCTCTTCCTTGTGGCGTTGACAAATCTCACTGGCCCTCTTCCTTATGGCGTTGACAAATCTCCCTGGCCCTCTTCCTTATGGCGTTGACAAATCTCCCTGGCCCTCTTCCTTGTGGCGTTGACAAATCTCCCTGGCCCTCTTCCTTGTGGCGTTGACAAATCTCCCTGGCCCTCTTCCTTGTGGCGTTGACAAATCTCCCTGGCCCTCTTCCTTGTGGCGTTGACAAATCTCCCTGGCCCTCTTCCTTGTGGCGTTGACAAATCTCCCTGGCCCTCTTCCTTATGGCGTTGACAAATCTCCCTGGCCCTCTTCCTTGTGGCGTTGACAAATCTCCCTGGCCCTCTTCCTTGTGGCGTTGACAAATCTCCCTGGCCCTCTTCCTTGTGGCGTTGACAAATCTCCCTGGCCCTCTTCCTTGTGGCGTTGACAAATCTCCCTGGCCCTCTTCCTTGTGGCGTTGACAAATCTCCCTGGCCCTCTTCCTTATGGCGTTGACAAATCTCCCTGGCCCTCTTCCTTGTGGCGTTGACAAATCTCACTGGCCCTCTTCCTTCTGGCGTTGACAAATCTCCCTGGCCCTCTTCCTTGTGGCGTTGACAAATCTCACTGGCCCTCTTTCTTGTGGCGTTGACAAATCTCCCTGGCCCTCTTCCTTATGGCGTTGACAAATCTCCCTGGCCCTCTTCCTTATGGCGTTGACAAATCTCCCTGGCCCTCGTCCTTATGGCGTTGACAAATCTCACTGCTCGGTCATCACTAGGTGGATGGTTGTGTTCTGACGTGCCGCGAACGTATTCTCTGTGGTGCACTTGCCACCGCAGGATCTGTTCACACACCTCCAGTACACATTTTCATTCTTCGTCCTGTTCTTAGCATACGTGTAGCCGTCTAGGAGAACTTGTGGGGCACCTTTCTGGGACAAGACATACTCAACTTTCGTAAGTACGGCCATAGCTTAATTGGACGAGGTTGAAGCTCATGTTGAAATATATTTATATGTTATATCATACTCAAGAGAAGGAAGTATAAGTGATTGAGAACATTTGGTATATTCTTACACAAATCCCACAACTTGTTTAAAGGTAATGTTTGAATACGATTTGTGATGTACCGGGAGCAGATTAAAGAACTGCAGTAGACTATTGCATAATGTATGCCAGCAGTCAGTCCAGGTATCATGAAACACTCTGCCATGTGGGGCACGGGTGACCCAGTCGTCTAAGGCGCCATGATTCGCTGTGCAGAGTTGCGTCCCTTGGATACGCCAGAAACCTATGATTGTGGGTTCGAATCCCGGTTCGCCCCGATTATGTTTCTAGGTTTGTCAGCACCATACCCGTGCTCGTGGGTTTCACCGAAATGGTAACATCTGGGACCTGCATCACTTCGGGCTTTCCTCCCACATTAAGCTGACACGCCGTGATATAACTGGAATACTGTTAAATGCGGCGTTAAACCCAACCCACTCACTCACACTGCCATGTGTATAGTGTAATGTAAAAGGTTAGCAAGTGACACGGATTCACAGAGTCTATGACATGTCGCTTCATCTTTGCTATTTCAAGACTACAATAGGATATTGTGAGTTAGAGAAAGATACACAAAACAAACGACCCAATCTGTGTTTTGCAATCACTTGTTATCCATGCGTCCAAGGTTGGGATCATCCTGATAAGTTCCGCCGCTATTGTCGGTCACAGGTACTTCTTCCGAAACCTCCCTCCCTTACCAGTTATATGTAACGACATCTAATGCGATCATTTGCCGGGCGCCGCCATCTTGAATGGATTCTCGCTCTCGCGAGATCTCGTTATATTTTATGAACTTACTTTTAACATTAAACATCTGGAAGCATTATGCAAATGATGATGACGTCATTTCTGCTAAAGGGTCTTTTTACACCATCAGGAGGAAGCCTTCTACACCTGTTTGATCCAGCCACATCAAGCATCGTTGACAGAAGTGTGTGGAGGGAAGTACACAATCTATGTTAAAAAGATAATTAGCAACCAATTCCATCAACGCTGTCGTCACTATTGTCGACCACAGGTAGGAGTTCACTTGTACTCCTTCCGAAATCACCAAATCTTCTTCAGAGATAATTCACATTCAATGATAATTCGAAAACTCTTGTCACCGTCAGAGTGGGACATATCGGGAAGTTGTGATGAGGATACCGCAACAAGGAACGAAGTACGATCATGGCGCATCGTTTTATACACAGATCAGCGAAAATCACAGGAAAGTCTCACAAGAAAATAAACGTAAGAACCAAAACGCGAACAATAAACGCAACTGAAGAAATAGTATGTTTCGCAAATTGATTTCTCCCCGAATAGTGAACTCAATTTGTGATGAAAATGGTCTTTATCATCCAAAACTGGCTCCCACAGGAGATACCGCTTACATTAGATATCGCTACAATGAAATTGCATCACAATGCTTAACAGACCATTGTGACATCATTGGTTACCATGACATCACTAATGGCTCTGCTACTGAAGCTGTTAGCAGTACTTTTTACACTAAGGCATACAAACTGAAAATGTTGGAAGAATGATATTGGATGATTAATAAAATCTCACCCTCGTGTCTTTTCAACACTCTTTTGATATCAAATATATCAACACTCATTGATAAAAGTGGGAAAACTCCTCGGGAAGCCTCAGAGTTTTTCCACTTTAATCAACTCGTGGTGATCAAAAGACACTCGGGTGAGATTCTCTATGTGTCACATTTCCGTTGTTGAAAGAAAGAGAAGTATATTTCAAGCCTGCTGGAGTGCGAACAGACGGGCGCGCTTGTCGCTTGTGTGACCAAGCGTATAATTTTGGGAGGCTGCTTGTGTGATCAAGCGTGTAATTTTGTAGGTAGCTTGTGTGTCCAGGCGTATAATTTTTTAAGTATCTTGCGTGACCAAGCGTATAACTTTGTAGGTAGCTTGTGTGATCAAGCGTGTTATTATTGGAGGTAATCTCCTCCCACAAAGCCATATATGGGGCCTCTGTATATATAGGCTCCGCCTCCGCTGTATTATCAGCCTTTGAAATTGATAGACAGTACAAAAGTGCAAATAAACTTCATCTACGCGCCGCTTTCGATGTTTTCAATACGACATTTGCATTAACGATGTTACGATCTAGTCAGATCTGCAAAATTGCATCTACCCATGATACTTGCACTTTAAGCAAATATATCTAACACGAAGTTCAGTAGACTGTAGTCTCCATTTTTGTGTGATACAAGCGACAACATATTTTCCATTATCAAAATAAAAGCGACAAAACCCTTTCCATATTCAAAACATCCACTAATAGCAGACTGCATTGTACGATTCCGATTATATCATGAGCGTGTGTTTGTGAATCAAATAGCGATAATACCAGGTGTTCGAGAAAAGGTGAGCGTATCCTGTCCAACCGGTGGCACGCGTCACAAACACATGCAAAAAGGAAATAATATGGGATAAATTGTGAGAAAAATAGTGCTATTGCTAGAGTTAGGACAAGTTAAAAGATTATATATCTCGGATTTAAAAATATTAATTTTAAAGAATCATATTCGAAACCTGAGTGAGTTGAATTTAGCGCCGCTTTAAACATCATTCCAGTTATATCAGCACGTGTCAACTAAATGTGGGAGGAAATTCTGAAGTGATGCAGGTCTCAGACGATTTCCACTTTTGGCGAAAACCATAAGAATTGTGCTGACAGACCTAGAGTGAGTGAGTATGGTTTTACGCCGCTTTTAGCAATATTCAAGCAATATCACGGCGGGGGAGACCAGAAATGGGCTTCACTTCACACATTGTACCCATGTCGGGAATCGAACCCGGGTCTTCGGTGTGACGAGCCAACGCTTTAACCACTAGGCTACCCGACCGCCCCGACAGACCTAGAAACATAATCATTTAGCTCACATCAAACAAGGGTATACTTTCTTTTGCCAAGCAGTTTATAACTTCATAATATGCCTGAGACAAATTACGTTTTCGTAGAGACAAAACTTTGAGCATAACTCTTAGACATGTCTGACATTGAAATCATTTTCACTGTTACGTAGCTATAGGTAGTCTAGATTTGACAATAGCTCTATAGTAGCAGTGCTGACCTTGTGACCTTGGCAATGATTAACCATGCTCAAGGAGAAGCCTTTATGGATCAACGCTTTATCTGGTATTCACATGACGTCAGAAGACACGAATATAGATGCAGTAGTATGTTACTTACGTACTTGCTTCACGCTTCATTCTTTCATCCAAACCATATTTTGATATATTTTGTTTTAAATTAACTTTTTATTTTTTGTTGTAACAAAGGTTTATTTATAATGCGCCAGATAGTTTTTACCAACCGACAGCCCATGACGCTGTATTATAAACCGACGACCAAAAGAAACTTTACCATAGTTTTAAATCACACTAGTTTAAAAAACACAAAAGATACATGTAAAATGTATTGAAAAGATCAAAATCTCAACGAAATCAACATGTAAAATGACAACGTAATGGACAATGGGCACACGTCATATCATAATAGCGTGTACTTCCACCCCTGCAACAAGAGACGCAAAAACTCTCCGGCACACAGAAAAAGTCAGCCGTCTGATGACGTCACGTGGGATACGTCACCATTCTTCTCATTCGTCACCACTCGCCCCTTTCCGTAACCTGCAAGAAGACTCGTCCCCCATCGATGAATGTTATGTGCGAAAATACGACAAACCAATCAGAATGCGCGTATGATTTCAAGTTCTTCGTCAAAGAATCCCTCAGAAATAATTTTTGATTTTACATATGTCTTGCATCTAAAATATACCAAAGACACAGTTAAATGTGTTCAATCATACTGTATAATTACGCACGTCCTGATGTGCTTTAAATTGCATCTGAAATGTATATAATATATGGGGAAAATGTGTGAACCATTACGCAACGAGTTGACAACTGTTTTAGGTATGCCCGTTTGCGCTAAGACGGAACCCGGTCGCATAAATGGCCACGAGTGGGGCACGAGTCGCTATTCGGCTTGTCCCCGAATAACACGAGTTGGTCACGAATGCATTCTTCTTGGAGGGTCTGGATCAGAGCTTGTTGGTTGGTTGGAGGATGTGGTCGCTGTCGAACACGACGATCCATGAAATCCCAGAGGTCACGTCTGGGGAGCGTGCAGGCCACGTCAACACGTTGACTTTGTTTTCTGCAAGGAAGTTCTGTACGATTCGGGGTGTATGGGGTCTGGCGTTGCCATGCTGTTAAAGGACACCACGTGATAGCTGTTGAAGAAATGGTCGGATAATCGGACAAGAATTTCATACATGTAACGCTGAGCTGTCAAATTTCCTTCCGCGATGACCAGTGGTGTTCTCTCACCACACCATAACACCCCCTCCACATGGAGAGGGCTGAGAACACACTGTACAGGAACTGACATTCGAACATGACAGGGGATGCAGCATGTTGGGTTTCAAGGCTTCTGACTTCTGATCAGAAACGCTCTGGTTCATCATCTCACATGATAATTAACGTCGTTTCGAAGCAGACCCAGCTGATTCTGTTGAGCGATTTGTAACCACGGACGTGTCTTGGGTTGGTTAACCACTGCCAGTCAGAGACTAAACAACAGTCAAAGCAGTGGAGACGTTTGAGGCCTTCTTCTAAGAAGGCAAAGTCTGTTCAATCAGCTAGCAAACTGATGGTTTCGGATTTCTGAGATTCGAAGGAATACTACTGATGGACTACCTCCCAATCTCATTAAAATCAGATCTAAGTTCACGCTGCCGCTAAACAAAGTTTAGCGATGGCGAGAACTAAGATCTGATTTTAATGAGATTGGACTACCTCCCGAAAGGTCATTCTATTAACACATTCCCCATGCAAGGGAGGTAACTGACCATAAAAGTCCAGTTACCGCTTTTATAGTCAGTTAACTACCTTGCCTAGATCTGCATACA